CAGCAGCAGCAGCAGCAGCCAAAGCCTTCCTCCTGAAATACTACAGGCTAGTGCCACGGAGTCCTGAAATCACTTGGCCTAGACTTGAAGGTCCTTCACTATTGATGCCTCACTGACTTCTCCAGCCTGATTTCCTACTATTTTCTTATTAATTCCTTAAATGTGGCATCAGCATTCCCATTTTAGACCTCTGCCCCAGCTGTTCTTTTTCCTTGCAGTGCCTTCCCAAACCCCGCCCATGCCCTTCTTTCAGCTTCTTCTGAAAACCTCTCTACTCTTCCTGTCTATAGTAGACGCTCTCCCCTTCTCTCTTCTCGGTCTTTTAATTCGGCGCCACCTTTCATTGTTGTCTAACTGCTTGTGTCAGATTTTCTTCTCACCAAGTTGACCGTTAACAACCCATGTTAGGGACCATGTCCTGGTCGTGTTCAGTACAACATTCACACAAGACCTATACCAGACCAGAACCTGAACAAGAGAGAGCTCCCGGGGAGAAATTTAACCTTTCCGTAAACCTCAGCTTGGTATGAGCGCCAATGAGGGTTGTTGAAGTTGTTTCACGAATGTAAAGTCCTTTGTAATGTCCAGCGCAGAGTAAACTCTCAATAAACTTTACTAAGTGGGCCGTGTGTAAATCTGAGTGACTTGTTTGCTTGCCATTCTCTCTTTTAGATCCCAAAGATAAGGGCCTGCCCACCATTTACGTATCCCTCCCACCCTAACCCCTTTATGGTACGCAGCCTGTACGTAGTAGGAGACTCAACACTCACTCCCTGAATGAATCAATTCAGCTATGAAGTCTGTGTTAGCGCAGGAAAACGAAAAACCCCGGCAAAGACTGAAGAGGACAGAGAAGAACTGACAGGACGCCAGGGGGCGCAAGAACTCGGGCTCTCCAGAACTCGCGATAGTTCCCGCCCGCTCCGAGACATCGCGCTTTCGGCTTCTGGCGGAAGCGCGGGACGGGAAGGAGCGCTGCCTCTCCTGTGGCTTGAAAGTTGCTTCCAGGTTACGCTCCCGGAAGCAGGAAGTTGTCGGCTTATCCTCCCCGCCCCGCGGCTTGCTGTCCCCGAGGCGGGAGGAGCCCGAGGGGCGCGGGCCCCGCATGTGAGTGACTGGGGCCCGAGGCCGGGAGGGGGGAGGCAGCTCTGTGACAGCCTCGCCACCGCACCTGTCAGTGACATCCTCGCGCAGCCCACCGTTCGCTGCCTCTGCCACACATGCCCCTGCGTTAGCCTTTTTTGAGCCTCTGGCGTTTTGCAGACTGACAGCATCCCCCAGCAACTCCCCTGGTGTCGCCTTCACTAAGACGTTTCCCTTTTTTAAATTGGCTCTGCCCAGGAGAGCAAAGCAAATTCGAGCCTGATTGAACATGTTTCGCAGGCGTCACAGCAATGTCCAAAACAGCGGTGCTAGCGGAGTCTAGATTTTACTGTCCCTTTTGACGTATTTCTAATTTCTTTTGTATACTGAGAGTAGATTCCCCGCCCCACTCCGAAACATCTTTTTCTGATCATTGTTAAGGAGGGATTTCTTTCTTTCTTTCTCTCTTTCGTTCTTTCTTTCTTTCTTTCTTTCTTCCTTTCTTCCTTTCTTCCTTTCTTTCTTTCTTTCAGTGTGATCATGGTATATGATAAGCCTGGCATGTCGGATTTCAGAAAGGAATATTGATCCGAGTAAGTTAGCTGTTTCCAATTGCCTTCTAGAACAAGGAAATTCACCTGCCTCATGTTGCGTAGTATTTTAAGACCATTAACTCTGCAAGCTACACTTTGGTGTGAGAGACGACATAGCTGTGGTATTCGCCAATATATTTCTTTTAAAGTACTTGGCCATCTCCTTATAATAGGGACTACTCTCAGATACTTACTATTCTGACTTTCTCTGTTTGCTCATTTGGTTGTTCCATGGTGAACCTTCTATGGACATCTTTCCCTTAATAAATTTGGTTGTATTATCACAGTTTCCCTCTAAGGAACAGAGGGAACCTAAATTCAGTTTTGCTGCACTGAAGTTTTGACTGAAGTTCACAACCCACAACTTGAATACTACAGGCTCTGTTTGACCTTTCTGATTTGGACCAGAACAATTTTCAAGATCTAGTTTGGATCCCTGTTCTTCCACAGCTGCTCTAAAACTACACACACACAAATGTCCAAGTGTCCAATTCCTAACCTGCTCACCTAAAGTCTCAGGCTAATTTATTTTTTAAAAATGGTAAGAAGGAAAAGCAAAATAAATAAGCTTAATTTATTTTTTAAAAATGGTAAGAAGGAAAAGCAAAATAAGCCATTAGTTACGTTAAATTAGTTTGGGAACAGAATGATCACTTTAGGTCCTTTCTATAAATTTGTTCAACAGACATTGATTAAAGTTCCGTGTCTCTGCAGTGAATTTCCATGTCTGTTATTTATGTTATTTTCTCCACTTTATCTCTGCTCTCAAGAGACAATATAGTGTGAGAGGGAGAAAAGGAAATAGATGTAATACAAGATGATAGAGTTGTGTTTAAGGTTCAAAGGGCAGAAATCAAGGTTGGAATAGAGTTTACTCATTGGCCAAAGTACTGGGGGCTAGGTTTTGTAGGCAGAGGAAATGATGTGTACAAAAACAAAAAGATGTGAAATAGTAGGGCAATGAAGAACATGAGGGAAGAATGGGGAATGAGACTAAACAAGTAGGCAGTAACCAGACCATAAAGGACCATGCTAAGTAATTTGGACTTCATCTTATAACAATAAAGTATTTAATTTGGGTATTGAGACAAATGTTTTAGATACGTAATCTTGTAATCCTTTAAAAACATTGTTGGATAGACACAATCATCCTCATTTATAAATGAAAACTCTGAGGCTTAGAGAGGTTGAACAGTGTCTCATGGCCACAAAGTAGATGGATAGTCTAGTATTTGCATCTAACTTTTTCTAACTCCAGTGCCTGTGTTCTTAACCACCATGCTTTATTCCCTAGCAGGGCATGGGGAGTCAAGGAAGGTACTTTGAATAGATGAGCAATGTGAACCAGTTTGTGTTTTAAAGAAGTAATTTGTAGAGAAGGTAGAGGATGGATCAAAAAGGAGAAGGAAGATGGGAAGTGTAGAGATTAAATGTATCTTTGTGATGGTCTGTGGGAGAGATGTTGAGCACCTTGACTACCATTAACATAGAGCTAAAGAGGAGGTGATGAATGTGGACTATGCAGGATGTAGAATTGAGGATTTGGTCATTGGTTCGTTGGTGGAGATGAGTAAGCAGGAGGAGAGATATTGCACTTTAGAGTTGCCTAGCTGGCATAGCTGTTTATTTGGGAAAACTGAGAACCTCTGGGGTGATGTCATATCGGTGTTTAGGGCATATTTATATTAATAAAGAAATTCTGTATCAAATAGGGCAAAGGAGAGATTTACATTTAGTCTGACCTCTTAACCTGTTTTCTGCTTTAAACATTTTTATTGATACATTCTGTCAGAGTCACTCTATTCAGCTATGCTTCTGTCCTGTGTTTTCCTAGACTGAGACCCAGAAGGAATTGTGGAGAACATCTCATCATAGCTGTCAGTTGCTTCCTTTTATTCCTGAAGTAATCCCTCAGAAGTGAACAGCTCCCTGGCAGGCCTCTCCTGAAAGCAGGATTTCTTAACCTCAGCATTCTTAACGTTTTGAGCGGGACAGTTTGTTCTGGGGAGCTGTCCTGTGCATTGTAGGATGTTAACTCTTTACCCACTAGATGCCTGTAGTACCCCTGCAGTTTTTGTTTGTGTGTGTCTGTGTTTATGTATAACTTTATTTGGAGCAAAGTACTTCATCTACAACCTATTGCCAAGTGCATTAACATGTGTCCCCCTCGCACTGAAGATGGTAGCTTTCAGTTATATAAGCGATTCTTTTGTTTAAGATCAGAAGTAAATATAGGTCTAGAAGACTTGCTGCAAGATGTTAGTTGTGGCCATGTTGGAGAAATTAGATATCTCAGGTTTTCCTATCTGTTCCCTTTGGTTTTTCTCCTCTTGAGACTTTGAAATTGGCATGGAGAAGGAAAAAAGTCATTGGAAAATACTGGGTACCCCTCCAGTTTTGACAGTCAAAAATGTCTCCAGGCATTGCCCGATATCCCCTGGGAGGCAGAATTGAGAAGTACTGTTCTACATCAGTGTCTCCTAGTTGGGGGTGTGAGATTTGGAATCAGCAGGGAAGAGATTTGAAAACTTCTGCACCTGGGTCACACTCCCAGGGTTTCTGACAATTCAGTATATCTCGGGTGGTGCATGATTCCTTGATTTCTGTAACTCTGCTAGTGATTCTGCCTGTGCCCCTGCAGGTATAAGCCACTGTTAAGAGTCAAGCTTGCTGTTCGGAACTTCTCTCTGTGGCAAAGCTCATTTCTGCCAGAGTTGGACCTTCTTTCTGGAGGTAAAGGGATTACTATCAAGCTTCAGCTGATTTCACTCAATCCTCTCATACTCAATGCTTAGCCATGACTATTTTGATTATTTTTTTTAAGGGACAATTTGATTTTTTAAAAATACAAACCTTGTGCTGAGGGTTGGCTTTCAGTTGATCGAAGCAAAGGAGCTGCTCTGCTAGCATAACTTAAAAGGATAAGAATTTTTTGTTGTTTTTTTAATTAACATGACATCCACTAGATGCCAGTAGTACTCCCCATTCCTCCCCACCCCCTCCTGTAGGCAACCTGTTTTCTGTCTCTAGATTTGCCTATTCTTGACTTTTGATATAAATGCAGTCATGTAATATGAGTGTTTTATGACTGTCGTCTTTCACTGAGCATAATGTGTTCAAGTTTCATCTATATTGTAGCATGTGTCAATACTTTATTCCTTTTTATTTTCCAGTAATACTCCCTTGTATGGGTATTATTATCCATTTTGTTTATCCATTCAGCAGTTCATGGATATTTGGGTTGCTTCCATTTTTTTTTTTAATGTTGTAGAATTATCAGTTCTTTTGTTTCTTTTGGGGAGGGGATGGGGGAAGGTAATTAGGTTTGTTTATTTATTTATTTTTTAATGGTAGTACTGGGGATTGAACCCAGGACCTTGTGCATGCTAAGCATGCGCTTTACCACTAAGCCATACCCTCCCCACTGCTTCCTTTTTTGAGCTATTATGAATAATGCTGCTTTGAACAAATGAACTTGTTCGTGTACAAGTTTTCATATGGATATCTGTTTTAAATTATCTTGAGTGCATACTTAACACGTGGAATTACTGAGTCCTATGGTAACTCTATGTTTGAGTTTTTGAGGAACTTCCAAACTGTTTTCCAAAGAAACTACACCACTTTACATTCCCACCAGCAGTGTATGAATTCCATTGCTCAACATCCTTGCCAACACTTGTTATTATCTGACTTTTTAATTATAGTCATTCTAGTGAGTGAGAAGTGGTTATCTCATTGTGGTTTTGATTTAAATTTTCCTTATGGCTAACAATATTAAACATCTTTTCATGAGTTGATTGACCATTTCTATATCTTCTTTGGAGAAATGTCTATTCAAATACTTTGCCCATTTTTTAATTGGGTTGTCTTTTTACAGTTGAGTTGTAAGAATTCTTTATGAACTCTGAATACCAGCTCCTTATCAGATATATGATTTGCAAATATTTACCCCCATTCTGTGGGTGGTTGTTTCTTTCTTAATGGTATTATTTGTAACACCAAAATTTTGTTAATTTTGATGTAGTCTAATTTATTTTGCTTTTGATACTCATGCTTTTGGTGTCATATCTAAGAAACCATTGCCTAATCCAGTGTTAGAAAGCCCCCCCACAACCCAAACTCTAACCCTGATACCACAAACAAAAATTACCTCAAAATGGATCAAAAAACCTAAACTTTAGAGTTAAAACTATAAAACTCTTAGAAGAAAACATAGAAGGAAAGCTGTGATTCCAGGAAGCATCCAAGTTCATTCTTTGGCATGTGGATATTCAGTTGTCCAGCACCATTCGTTGAAAATACTCAGTGCTTTTTGAGGTTAGAAGCACTTTGGGGATGAAATATGTGAAATAAGAGAACCCTCTGCAGCAAGAAACAAGAGCAACAACAACGGAAGAGAAAATAGATGTCAAGCACTGCTTTCCTCATGTAAATGGAGAAAAACGTTGTTCTGTAGCACAAGCACTTTAAGAAAAAACTGTTAAATTTCATTTTACAAATGATACAGAGAGAAGTCTATTTTGCCTTTAGTTTTTGCCTTTTATTCTCTCGCCACTGTGAAACAATCTGGCTTTAAAATAAATATGAGAACCCAAATTGAATTTTGAAATGAGTTCTAGATCTTAGATCTTTTAAAGTATATAAAATACAAACAGAATGCCCTTTATTGTCTAAAATCGTATTTACAGAAAAGCATGAGGACTCAAACCTGCTAGGTCTGAAGAGCTCCCAGGCCATGGTTTTGTGTTGTCTAAAATCCTTGCTCTGCCAGGAACAAAACATAACCATGCTCCTCAGTAAATCTTGTCTTCAATTATCAGTTCCTTTTCTTGTATTGCTAAAAAGTTCGTGTGATGTAAAAGGAAAGAAGTAATTGATCAAAAACATTTTCCATACTCCATTTCTTTTTATTTTAGTAAATTACCAGTAGCAGATCTCCTGTGATTGGTTTCAGAAGTCATTTGGATGGCACTAGTGTTTCTGCGTCCCATTAGGAATTTATTGCTCTCTGGACTGGTGCTTGTCAAAGTGTTTGGGAACCACTGCTGGTCTGTAAACTCGTTGTTACTAGCCTACAATTAAGAAACACTTAAAAATTTGTATCAGAATTAGGAAGAACTGGTCCTTCCCCAAAGGTAGTCAAGAAACACTGTTCTAAGGGAAGTAATCTTGAGGAGAAAGTACTTTAAAGAAACTAACTTTTTACATTTATTTTTCTCTCTTTCAGGGATTTTGTATTAGAAGACATGGATCTTGCTGCTAATGAGCTCAGCATTTATGACAAACTTTCAGAGACTGTTGATTTGGTGAGACAGACAGGCCATCAGTGTGGCATGTCAGAGAAGGCAATTGAAAAATTTATCAGACAGCTACTGGAAAAGAATGAACCACAGAGGGGGCCACCCCAGTATCCCTTCCTTCTAGCAGTGTACAAGGTAACAAGGTGTTCTGATTTGGAAATAGCTTAGACAGAGCACAAACTCTGCAGCATTCACCCCAAATATTCATGTTGACTGATTCCACCATTGAACCTTGGTTTTTCTATGAATAAATTGGTTTACTCTTCATTACCATGTTTTATTAGGAAATTTAACTATTTTGTTAAATGTCCTAGGTGAAAGCTGTGTATTTATAATTAAGTATATTTGTGCATATTTTTAAATGGTGGACATAGCCTTGGTCCATATGATTGAAGCTTGGTGAGCCTTGCAGTTCCCACAGTCCTCAGACTTTAAATGCTTTCAAAAGTGAATGTAAATGTCTTGTTTATGAAAATGGATTAGTTCTTAAAGCACTTTGGAAGTAATAGAAGATGCCTGTTTTTTATGGGGGGGGAGGTGCATTAAAATATTTTGTTTGCTGGGACAATTATTAATCCATTTCCTGTCTTTCCTTGTAGGTCCTCATAACCCTGGGATTAATCTTGCTCACTGCCTACTTTGTGATTCAACCTTTCAGCCCATTACCACCTGAACCAGTGCTTTCTGGAGCTCACACCTGGCGCTCACTCATCCATCACATCCGGCTGATGTCCTTACCTATTACCAAGAAGTATATGCCAGAAAATAAGGGAGTGCCTCTGCATGGGGGTGATGAAGACAGACCCTTTCCAGGTAGAATGCTGCATGTACTACTTATCAGATAACGGCTTTCTTGGCAGTGTATCATGTGAAAGGAAGTAACATTTATTGATATCTAATGAGAGACACTCTCCCTATGTTGTCTCATTTAATTCAATCCTCAGTAAAACCTCATGGGATGGGTTTTATTACCCCATTTTGCAGACTGAGAAACTGAGTGGTTTTGCTCATAGAAGGGATCTGAGTATATCTTATTCTACTGTTTTTTCTTCTATGATCCCTATCTGTGGTAGATATTTTAATAAATAGCTATTGATTTTTTGAGAACTTCTGAATCCAGATCCTCTAATAGTCCTTAGCCTATTGGGCTAGGTTTTTGTCTAGGTATATCCCTCTTCTTCAATTTAGTCTTTTCTCTCTGTCTCACAGTTCACTTATGTAGTGCTCCTAAGTATACAATTTTGCCAATAAGTTGAATTCAAGAAACACTTAAATTTAGTAACAACGTATCAATAGTAGCACAGGAATTCCTAGTCCGGTAGGCTGTTTTAGGAGTTGCCTTTTGAGAATAGTATAACAAGATAAGACTCGAAGTTTACTTTATGAGAACAAATAGATACTATTTGGGGACATTATTTTATGTATATTTTTATTAGTTGTTTATCTTACTTGCCCATACGAAAGAATGCATAAATTAATATCACAAATGGATTATGGAGCTTTTTGTGTAACCATGTTCTGAAACCATTAGGCTCCAGCATAACTATTTAGGAAGTATGTTTTCTCTTCAATGTTGTTTTCAGGAAAAATTCAGTAGTTGAAGCTAAACCTTATAATCATAATACCATTCTTTAAGCCAAGACCTAGCCAGTCATAAAAATCATCATTTGGCTTTGAAAGCTGTTTTTGTACCCTTGAGGAAATTACAGAAAGATTTCCAGAATTATATCAAAATCAGAGGAAGGGAACATTGTAAAGCAAAAACCCAGCCTGTAAGTTTTTTTAAAAAACTAGCTCATATATTTGGACTTTTTAACTCCAGATGTATTTTCCTTGTACTTATTGGGAACGTTGTTTTTGAAATGTCATCAGCAAAGCATATACAAATGAAGTGTCCACCTCCTATCAGGAGCATCCAGAGCATGTAGGGGAAAGAGACAGAGAAACTTGTCAGTGAGGGCAGCCTGTGCTGCTGCTTCACATGCATCAGTTTCCTTTCATGTCTTCCTCTCACAGCCTCCCTAGAGTCAGCTTCTGCTCTTTGGCACGTGAGGTGAAGTCAACAGTTTTTAGGACCAGATTGATGGCATTTCTACTTTCTTTCTCCCCATCCTGTAAAGTACAACTCCATGGACTGTTGAGTTAAGAAATAATAGTCAATGGACAATGATTGTTCATTCTCTGTATTGGAGCTTAAAAATTTAAGAAACATCTTGTCAACAAGCCAGATTGGCCACTCCAAATGAATATTTTGCCTTGCAGGTGGAAATAAAACGAGTCCTTAGAGCTCACTTGTAAAGAGAGAGCATTGGAAGGGTGTGGCTTTACATCTTTAATGTTGTTGATTCTATTAAAGTGCCGCTTTTACTTGTAAATGTGGATATTGCACCCTGTTTTCCTGTGTGAGATAATTCTGGGAAGCTGTAGACATGTAAAACTAACAGCGCTTTGCATAGCATTTGGAAGGAAACTTAAGAATGCATAATGCTATAAGGAGAGAACAGAAACATATTGGGGAGAATTAGGTGCAAGAAGTTGAACTGTCGGGCCTGTAAGAGGGCCAGAAAAGTAAAAAATATATAAATTATTGTTCCTGTTGTCATAATGCCAGAAAGCAACTGCCTTTCAGTTAGGACTACTTAGCAACACTTTTAAAGTAAATGTGGAGGCAGAATGGTGTGGCAGACTCAGCTCCCCGTAGGAAAGCCCTTCAGCATACTGTCTCCTTAAGGGCTGACTGGTTATCTGACACTCCCTGCAGCAGCGCCTTGGGAATGATGGAAGGCACCGGGAGCGGTGCTGTACCAGTGGCTCCGCCACCAGTGGTGGTAGGTTTCCTCCTGACCACTTGTGGTACTTCCTCTTGACTCTACCCAGGGAACAAAAGGCAACAGAAGTGGGGTTCTTTTTCTAGATTTCAGCTTCGGGTAGGAAACCTTGCCCCTAAATCCTCTTCATAGGGAGAATGAAGTGACTCTGTAGTGAGTCATGTATACATCCCACTCTGCAGCAGAAAATAAATAAGCTGACTTGTTTAGTCTTAACAGATATCAGGCCCTGTTCAAAGGGCTTTCCATATATCAACTCACTTGATATTTATAATATTCCTGTGCACTAGGTTCTGGGTTTATGTCTGTTTTAAAGATGAAGACACTGAGGTACAGTGAGAGTAGCTCACTTGCCCAAGACCCCAAGGTCAGTAAGTCATGGAACCATGATATGAACCGAGGCAACCTGTCTTCAGAGTCTGAGCCTCTGATGTGAGGCATTTGTAGCCACATGGTATACCTGAAGAGTCTAGCTCTAAGTTTGATTTTAGAGTTCTACACTCCTTCTCTCAGATCACCAGATGCTTTCTCTCTCAGCTCCCTAGTCCCTGAAGAAACAAAGTTCTTTCTGGCTGCTACTGCATGTCCAATGATAAATGATCCCCCTTTAGAATTTTCCTGAACTAATCTTTTCCTAGACATTCAGTCCAGCTCATCCTCCCAATCTGCACCCTTATAGGTAATGTTTGACTTATTGTTTGACTTAATCCTTTCTCTTATTAACCCATAGGTTTCCCTTCACATTCACATTCTTATTCCACTGCCCTACCCCCAGCTTCATATCTTTATATCCACTTTGACCCTCCAGCCATCCTCTTGGCTTTCACCCAATGGAATCATTGAGTCTTAGAGCTCAAAAGGAACTTTAGAGTTGATTTAGTACATACTTTAAACATACCCCTGTTTTATAAAGAGGAAATTGAAGCCAGGAGATGTGAAGAGCTTGCTTACCCAGCTAAAAGTGGCAGACTAGCACTTGACCCTTAGTTTCTTAACTCTAGTCTAGCACTCTTGCTGTCATGTCACATTTACTGCTCTGCCCTCAGCTAAGCCAGGTTCCAGCATGTTCGGCCCAATGATTTTGTTTACTTGGGGCATTTATAATTTTTTTTGCATTTTATTTTTTATTGAAGCATAGTTGATTTACAATGTTAGTTTCAGGTATACAGCAAAGCAATTCAGTTATACATAAACCCACATATGTTTACACATATATTTTCAGATTCTTTTCCATTATAGCTCACTACAGGTAATTGAATATAGTTCCCTGTGCTATACAGTAGGTCTGAGCATTTATAATTTTTGATTGTACTATCCATATGTACTGAGGAGGCCCAGGGAAGTTCTCATATACAATGAGAAGGTGTATCTCTGTATCTGTACTGCATAATTGGAACTTTATGTATCCATGAACTTTCAAGAGAAGGTTGAAGTGAATCTACACATATCAAGGCGATTTGGGAATAGCAGATCATTCATTGACTTAGAACTAAGATTAGGGCCTAATCAGACTTAGAGCCCAGGCCAGTGCCCAAAGATGAAAAGCTGAGACCTGTTTATTTGCAAATAAAAGAATAAAGTGATAATAGCTCTGTCAAGCACTTACAGTATAACAGGCACTGTGCCACGTACTGAGCTGTGTATTTCTCGGTCTTCACAGCAGTCACATAAGGTAGTTAACATTTTTATGTCCATTTCAAAGATGAGGAAACTGATGTGCATGGAGGTTGACTATCTTACCTGAAGTTTCACATTTAGAGATAAATTTTTATACAAGGAGAATTCATAAAAATAGATGGACTCTGTGGTTTGGAATGGTTCAAACACTTTGCTTCCTAAAGGCAAACCTGTGGGCAAAATGATTTCATGGATTCCTTCCATCCCTATAGTGTATGAAAGTGGCTCCAGGCCTGCTGCCACCCATGCAGGGGACCTGGCCATGGGCGCCTCCACCATGAAGACTTCACCCCTGCCTTATGCCTAGGATGCTAGAAGTGCTAAGCAAAACAAACTGCTGGAGAGTAGCCTGATTAAATACTGAGCACACACCAAAGTCACAGAAACTCTGTCGTGGACTTTGCAGGCTTTTCTTGGGCACGTTTCTAATATGAGAAATCTAATATAAGAAATCATGAGGTTATATTTATTTAATCTTTATTTTGAGGTTTCTCCAAATTCAGATTACTTGTTTGAATTTTCTCCCCATGGACCTAATCCTATTGGTAAAGCTTCCAAAAAGTCAAGATTTCATTCATTCATTCAGTGAATGTGTATTGAGACCCTGTTGTACACCGGGCACTGTTCTCAACACAACAGCAAACAAAACAGACAGTCCCTCTGCTTTTGTGGAGCTAGTCTTGGCTTTGTACCTTTCTTCTTCCCTATCCTTTTCAACCAGTGGGAGGGTTTTTTTTGGTCCTGGAAATAAATCTTTTTTTTTTCCTCTTGCCAGGTTAATCTGTGTATGACTCTCTCCACTCAGAATTCCAGGGTATGTTATTGTTGTCCACAGCGAGCCAGCCTGAGTGCATTTTCTTTGTAAACAACTCTCAGGCACCAGGAAGCCTCCTGACAGGCCTTGGCTCACCGCTTCTCTGCAGAGTGCCCAAACTTCAGAGAAGGCTGGGAAGTTACAGTTTCTGCCTTTCTTAACTTCAAGGCTGTGTTTTTTCTAAGAGACTGTTTTTGATATCTCAAACAGCAAAATGATTCTATAATCAGTGAGAATTTGGAATACAGTTCATGGGTTTTATTGAATTCTTACCTGTGGAGTTTCACTTCTCTGTCACACCTTTTTTTTCTTTTTTTAGGATAAAATAGCTAGTATAAGGAGGCTATCCGGAGTAAAGAAGCCTTAGAAATCAAAAGAAAGTTAGGAAGTTGCTCTCCGGCTTCCACTGGGCTTTCTGTCTGGTGCTGCAGAAAGGGTGGATAGAAACAGTGGAGGACTAGAAAAAAGTGAGATGCAGCATTTTAGATAATTGA